TCAAATTCAAATGTTATGTGTGATTAATCAATTACAGAAAAATGTGCAATTAATTAGCTAATTGTTTTTAATCGATTAACAGCATCTATACACATCTATACACACACACATATATATACTGTATATACACATTAGTGGTGTCAAAATTAGCACGTTAACGCAGGCGATTAATTTCTTCAGTTTAACACGTAAAAAATATTTAACGCCGTTATATATTTATGTGTATATAAGCTTTATTAGCTTTTTTTTACACTAGCGTACAGATGCACCAAAGGTTTGTTTTCAGGGTCATTAAGGCATTGAAATCAGATCAGATGAAGTTCTCTTACCAAGTGATGCTGTGTGTGTTTTACAATACTTGTGTTTTAGACGGATGTATGCACGTATTGTATGCATATTTTACTATAAAGCACTTTGGATCAACTACAGGTGTGTAAAACTTGGTCTCTATGAATAAAGCTCGACTTGACTAACCGTCGTCAATGTCAAAGTCGGCGAAGCACAGCTCAGAGCCCTTGTTGGTGATCAGGATTTCTCCGTTCAGGGTGAAGATCATGGATTTGTCCTCCAAGTTGATCATACAACCCACAACATCCCCGGCGTGCCAGCAGCGGCCGAACAGACGGCTGCCCGTGTGGAGCCGATGACCCTGAGAAGCACAGACGCCTTCAGATCAGTGTAGAAACACAAAAGGTCATCGGACCGGATCAGATCGATATCAAAATAGATAGATGCTACATGCTAATAGTGATTAAAAAAAAATACAGGTAGTTGCTGAAACATGATTAAAATAATCTCAAATGTGCTAGCATAATGCTAACAATATACTATATCATGTTAACATCATCTAGCTAAGTGTTAAAACATGCTAAACATGTTGGGATCGCCTAGCTAAGTGCTAAGACAATGCTAATAGCACGCTATATCATGCTAATGACACGTTAACCAACATGCATAACGGTAAACATAATAGTATCTTGATAAAAACATGCTAATGCTAGCATCATGCTAATCATGTTAGCATCTTGTTAAAAACATGCTAGCAACATGCTAATCATGCTTACTACGTGCTAATCATGTTAGCATGTTTCTAGCATCATGTTAACATCTTGTTAAAAATGCTAGCAACATGCTAATCATGATAACTACATGTTTACAAAATGCTAATCATGTTAGCATGTTTCTAGCATCAAGCTAGTCATGTTAACATCTTGTTAGAATATGTTAGTATTATGCTAACAACATGCTAATCATGTTAACATGTTTGCTAACAAAATGTTACAAAATTAGCATGATGCTAACACGATTAGGATTACTAATAGTGCCTAGTGCCGAGTTTTGCCACTCACATTTTCTATTTACATAGTCGTTTATCCCTGTATATATGAACGAGTCAAAAGTAGTTTCTAACAGCTGCATGTACAGCAGTGTTAATTTCGTTGACGAATAATTTTCGTCATAATGTTCGT